AGTTTTCGTATTTCTTAAAATTACCGTTATATGGGAGGTAGGCGTGGTTATTATCCGATTTCGCCCATTTTCAATACGATCCGTCCCACGCCCAAAAGAAGTTCACGTACCAAGTTTCGTTAAGATATCTCAATTTTTACTCGAGTTATCGTGTGCACAGACGGACGGACGGACGGACGGACGGACGGACGGACAGACAGTCACCGCTTAATCGATTCCTCTTTTCATTCTGATCATTTATGTATACATTTGTCTATGTCTATCTCGATTCGTTTTGCCTGTTACAAACAACCGTTATGTGAACAAAGTTATAATACCCTTGTGCACAAGTGCGCTCGGGTATAAAAATTTGTATCTAAGCGCCGCATCGAGGTTTTGTGCCGATAATGCGAATGTAAATTTTGGTTGCCGAAAAAGCGTTTTCGTCGAGTTGCAAAAAGAAAACCAGGACCTTATTGCTGTTGGATGTTTGTGCCATATGTTAAATAACTCATTTAAAAATTCTTTAAAAATGTTGTACTTTGACTTTGAGTACATTTTAATTAAAGTTTTTAATGAACTCAGTTCATCAACCAAAAAAACGGCCGAACTCAAAGAAATGTTTGAGTTCTGTGAAATACAGTGGAGCGAAATATTACGACATGTTCCATCAAGGTGGCTTAGTATGACACCGGCAATTGAGCGGCTGTATAAAAATTTCAAGGCGATTAAATGTTACTTTTTATCTCAAGATTCATGTTCCCATATTCTTAAAAAGTTTTTTGAACATAAAACTTCTGAGTCGTATCTCGGATTATTGCATAATGTAGGGACTACATTAATGTATGCTATAAAAAAATTAGAAGAAAACTCAGAATTAGTCATTTTGGAATTTTATCAATTAATAACTAATTTACGAAATAGATTATCTCAACAAAAAGAGCAACAGTTTTATGGTGCCATTGCTGAAAAGGTTTGCAACGAATGTGATGACTTAGATGAAGTTCGCCTGTTCAAAAAGAGAGCGGATGCATTTTTATCCGCGGTTATTTCATACATTGAAAATCATTTTCAATTTGAAAATAATAAATTTCAGAAGTTAGCTGCCCTTAGGCTAAGTCCAGAAATTTAATTTCGTGAAATCGTTGAAATATGCAACGCATTTTCAATAAAAAATATTGACAACGATGCCTTATTTGATGAATTTATTGCACTCAAGACTTTTTTGAGTAATGTTGATGAAAATCAATCGGTAGAAAGAAAGTGGATGGAATTTTTAAGCAGTGGAACATTTCCGAATGTAGAGTTCATATGTTATTTCATTTTTTCTATTCCGCATTCAAATGCGGCTACCGAACGAATTTTTAGTTTAATGGTTACGTGTTGGAGGAAAGAGAGAAACAGGCTGGCCATGGATACGTTACAAAGTGAACTAATAGTCAAAAATAACTTTAACTTGTCATGCCAGGAATTTTTAAAATTTTTAAAAAGTAAAGAAGGGGCTAAAATAATCGCTGGTACGATTAGCAATGAAAAATATTTATAAATGATCTCATGCATATATTTTTAAGTAAAGTATAAATACACTTAGTTAAAAATATCAATTTTTTTTGTTGGATTCTAAGTTTTAAACTGTATACCACACATACTTAACTATTTAAGACGTTTGTAAAGTGAAACTTTCAGTTATATTTTTTAATTTTATCGCTCGTGAAAAAGTATATGAAACATGTACATGTAAACTAAAGCTGTCAAAGAAATTCTTGTACGTTGTATACAGTGACTCAAACAGGTGTTCAAGTATTGATTTTTTAATATTCTATTTCTATTTATATTTCAAATATGTTATTTCTATTAAAAGCTTGGACAATATTTTTATAAAAAAAAATTACTTGAAAAACACTATAAGTATTTCATAAAATTGGGTATGTTTTTATTTTGTAGAAAAATGAATGTGCTGTTAATAAATGCGATTTTCCACGAAATGTACTGATTTTTCGGTAAAAGGATCTGGCAACCCTAGATTCGACTTTAATGACTGTTATTGAATATATCCATTCATTAATGAAAAGAAAAAATAATATATTCTATGCTAAAGGATTCGAGAAAATCAGATGGATTCAACGTTTATTCGGATACGATATTATTTTATATAATTTAGATGATTTAAATTGTCCAAATTTAAAGAATTTATATATTAAAAATACAAATATAAATACTTGTAAATATCATAAAAATTCTATGATACATGCTGAAAAAAAAGTAATAATATTAAGAAACTTTATTTCTTCATTAAATATCTAATAAATAAAAATAATTAAGTAATTATAACACTTTATTTTATTTCAAATTAAATTTTATTTGTTTTCAACATCAACAGACCTTTCCATTCATATATATGTATATATACACATACATATTAAATACTTAGCAATTAACTATGTGAACATTAACACACTTTTCTAGGGGTGGAACATCTATATATGTATATACATATGTATGTATGTACGTTTGCATATAGATGTATGTATGAGAATACGTATGTATCAGGGATTGGCATTGGTTGATCGTCAACTGTTCATACTCATTCAATACCGCTGCTTTGTATGACTGAGCAGCGGCGGTGGCTTAGTAGTATCGATACCTAAACGAAATTAGAGGATGACTGAACACGAGCGCATTGCGTGCTGTCTTGCAAATACAGCCACCACAAGTGAACGATGCTTATAACAGCTCATACTGATATTGACTTCGGCAAATCTGTACTCTGAATGATCGTGCACGAAACCAGCAAACGTGGCAGTTGAACGGCTCCGAAAACATGAGAGTCATCATTTGTTGCAGAAGTCGTTTGACTTGTTGCTGAAAGCCATTTGACTTGTTGCTGAAAATCATCTGACTTGTTGCTGAAAATCATCCGACTTGTTGCTGAAATGACGACGAATGTGGTAAAGGGTAATTTATCGTCTCGTATGCATGTATGTATGTATTTATAGCGCGTCTACCATTCAATTGCATTGCTCACTGCTGGCTAGTTGTGAATGTGCATACGTACGTAAGTATGTATGTATGTACATATCAATGCTTCATTTCAAACAAGCAAGTGTCTTTGAATGTTTTTGAACTACAGTATCATCACTTCGGCAACACGTCAAACGCGCCTTCAGCAACAAACCAAAGGCGGCGGTTTGACTTCTGCAACAAATCAAGTTAGCTAACTGCGGCATCTTGCCTTCGCCAGTCTTTCACATAAGCTGTCACGCTTTCGGCAACCGTCCAAAGCAGTATCGTGCTTTTGGCAGTCGATCAAATACGGCGGTTGCTGGTTTCGTGCACGATCATTCGGAGTACAGATTTGCCGAAGTCAATATCAGTATGAGCTGTTATAAGCATCGTTCACTTGTGGTGGCTGTATTTGCAAGACAGCACGCTTTGCGGTGGTGTTCGTTCATCCTCCGTTTTTAACGTGCCAATCCCTGGTATGTATATATGTATACCCAGTGGCGGATTTATCGTACAGGCAACATAGGCTGAAGCCTAGGGCGGCAGAATTAAGGGGCGGCAAAATTTAAGACAGCTAAATTAAAAGAAAAAAATTTATTTGGATTCAGCTGCACTTGAAATTGTGTTTGTGTCTGTAAAATATTATTAATGATTCATTTCATTCTATACAATTCAAAATTTGAATTACGCTGCGAATTTTTCCTTAGTATAGCAGTCGTTGAAATTTCCATTTAACTTTCATTCACGCGGCTTAGAAACCTGACAGCGCGCCTGCGCGTGACGCAAAGAAACAGCCGACACGCTGCCCCGAGAACGAGAATCATCTAAAAGGTTACCACACTTGACAACACTGCCGAAAAACGAGCGTGCATTTTCGAGAAAATTCTTGATTCCAAGCCCACCAGTTTTTCATAAGTGTATCATAACGTGAATAATCTGAAGGTCAGCTTCCGTCGTATGTCAAATTAGGCAGTGTATCTGTGTATGGTCTTCTGTTTGTCTTGCGCGAGGTCAAAAAATCTTCCGGATGAGCGATTTTATTTTGTATACTCGCATAGCGCTACTTCAATGTCCTGATAATTGGATTCTACTTGTCCAAACCTCTAAAGCATTTCAGTGCAGAATACATCGTGTTTTACAGATGCATGTACCCGATGAATGTTACGAAATAAGGTATGCTTGCGTGATTTCATAGAAGTATTTTTCTTATAACTACCTGAAATGTAAACAAACATTCAGCAAGGTTAAGCGGACATCACCAAACTCTCTAATTCGTTTGATATTTCTCTACAAAACTTTGCAGCATGCATGAAGTGAGCTCAATTATTCAATATTTGAATTTTTCTAGATCGAAATGAGAATAAGCGATATTGCAACGTTTATTTACTAATTATGGCTGACGGACGCATGAGACTTAGTGGAGTATGGAAATAAAGGGTCAGGTACTGGCAGCTATTTATCTAAAACCATTTGCGACGAGTTCATTGAAATTATGGCAGACAAAGTGCGTCAAACCATAATAGAAGAAATGCGTACTGCTAAATATTACAGCATTATTGTGGATTCAACACCAGATATTTATCATACTGATCAACTAGCCTTTGTTAATAGATACGTTAAAGATGATGGATCACCTGTGGAACGATTTCTGCATTTCATAGAAAATCCAGGTCACAAAAGTGAAGAATTGTTCGCTGAAGTATACAACGGACTGATGTCACTAGATTTAGATATTATGGATTGTAGAGGGCAATCTTATGATACTGCAGCAAACATGTCTGGAATCTACAGCGGACTTCAAGCTCGAATAAAAGAAATCAACGATTACGCAGACTATGCACCATGTGGTGGGCATAATGTTAACCTTGCTGGTACACATGCAGCTGAAAGTTGTACAGAAGCTTCTGCTTATTTCGGAGTTTTGCAAAGCGTTTATACTTTTTTCACGGGATCGACCAATCGCTGGGAAAAATATGTTTTCCATTGCAGTCAATCTGGACATCGACAGCGTGCGTTGAAATCATTTCTATCTATCGATTGTGAAGATATTATCCGCGAATTCGCAGCTGAAAAATCAAGACGTAAAGAACTGTGAAAAAGAAGTGTTTGAAAGAGGGTTTTTGTTGAATACCTTATCCATGCTGATGTCGAATTTGTTAATTCCGTTATGTATTTCATTATTAACGAACTATATTGTAATAAAGCACTGACAATAACAATCATATTTGATATATATATATATTTTTTTTTTCGTGAAAAAAGGGCGGCAAGTTATGAATTGCCTAGGGGCGGCAAATATTTAAATCCGCCACTGTGTATACCAATACACCTTACCAATTTTCGACATATAAACCACCTTGTATCGGATTTCTTGGATTTCCATCAGCGGAATACCCTGTGATCGGTTCCGGTTCTGGACTCAGATTTGTCACCAGCGACATCTTGCGGCTTTTATCTGGGTTCTGAACTTGGATAACGACGGCGACATCTTTTGGCGGAGCAGCAAAGCTTGCGGCGGAGCAGCAGCAAACCATATAGCGGTTCTGGACCGGAGCAACTACTACTGAATAACGGTAAATTGAAAATATCTCAAAAACTTACTCATGGAATAAAAAATTAACTCGATGTTCGGAATCATCGGGCGATTATACATAAGGACATTCGAAGCGCAGCGCTGCGCAAATTTAATGTTTTAAAGAGCAATAATGTCAATGGATTTTAATTCGCTTTTGAAAAGGTAATAATGTCAATTGACTTTATTTCGCACCAGTATACGAAATAGTGTCAATTGACCTTATTTCCGTTGATCTTGTTACCTGTAATCCTCAACTTGATTTAATCGTGTTATTTTAGGCACTTGTTTGCACTCAATGCGAAGTAAAGGTAAAAAATCATGTTTCCTTCGCGAACGTATGATTACGACATAGGTAGGAAACAGACTAAAAATGTACCGTTAAATTCTCTTTGCCTGGGATCCTTGAATAGAGCCAATTTACATGATAACTTTTCACCCTTTTTTGCACGAAAATCCTCGTGCATTTACACGATGACTTTTTCGTTGTACAACTCTTTCGTCCTTATTTTTAAAGCAGAGTAAATTGCGAACTCAAAGTAAAAATACGAAAAAGTGAATTCGATAAGAGCGAAACGTCAACTCCGCGATTTCGCTCACCGTGCGTGCTTGCCTACCCTGCTGACTTCCCTACACTTCTTGCCTACAAGGTCGACACGCATGACTTTCCACCTTGTAAAACTGCATTAAAAAATGTATGTTTATAAACATTTTAGTTCTCGGTCTTGTTTGAGCATTCTGTGGAAACGCTCTCATGTATGTATACTTACATTAGGGTGGTGCACAGTTTTTTTCCAGCTAA